TGGGTAGGTGGGGATGGTCTCCCTGCTCGTGTATACATTAGACAGCACATATTGATTTTTTGTGCTGCTCATCCCAAAAGGCCTTTACGTTTCTCCCCCCCATCTGCTTTCCACACATGGAGATGAATTGCACTCCGAGGCCGGTTTTGTGCTCATCCCAAAAGGCCTTCACGTTTCTCCACCCCCACCCATCTGCTTTCCACACATGGAGATGAATTGCACTCCGAGGCCGGTTTTGATGAACCTGTGATGGGCTGTCCTTAGCCTTGGGATCTGCTGTGTGAAATTAAAGCCAGGAGTCAGCTCGCCTCACGGTGAATAAGATGGCCCCTAGTGCCTGCCCTGTAGAAAAATACTTGTACATTCACCGGACCAAAAACTGCCAAGAACAAGACTCATGCTATAGCGCTGAGCTATTTGAGGAAAAGTGAAGGCTCAGTAACGGTAGAGATTCATGCAAGGACCTAAATATAGATATGAAGACAAAGTCAGGAGAAAATCTATAGATGTACCTTTTTTTTAAATCAATAGCGGTTTTTAATCTGTCAGTTGTAAGCAACTGAGACTAGACCTGTTGACTTTGGACAACTGGTAACTCAACCTGTTTGCGAACTAGGCGGAAGGTATAAAGGATGTGCACTGATGAAAGGATGTACAGAGAAAGCTGTAAGGTCAGCTCACATTAAGATGTATCCAAAGCCCTTAGTATGTGACAGTCTTCTTGACAATGAACAACCCTAATGCTACAAAAGGAAGGTTGCAGTATCTCTATCTATTGTTAACTACTTGTAAGTCGCAGAATTCCTCCCGTACTCTCTTTAGTGAAGTAGAATAACTCTTCGTTTGTGGTGATTAGCACTGAAGCAGATTTCATTGTTAAACAGTATGTTCCAGCAGAGCAGGATTAATTATTAATAATGTACTTTGATTTCTAACAAAACACTTTTGAACACCTACAGTCAGGATGTGGTTTTAGAATTATGTTTCTGTTTTTATAGATACAAAACTATCTTATTTTAAAAATAATTATCATTTTAAATAATTTCAGAAAAAATTGCACCTTGCCCCTGTAGCGAGTGAAACAACTGATATGGGCTATGAATTTTAAAATCTATCTACAAGTAAAACAAGTGAAAAGCAACTAAAGTATTTTTTTTTTTTATTACACTCAAACCGCAGTTTATAGCTGCTGATATATTTTTAAACTATAGAAATTTTCATAACTGAATTCTATATGGACTGAAAATTTTACAAATATTCATATTTAAAAGAAACAGAAAAGTATTTTTAAAAAATGAATGGAAAATCATTAAAAAAAAAGTTATTAACATTTCTATCATTTGAAAAATATTTCAGCAGCGATAAAAGCAAACTTTTGCAAACTTCGGAATAATTTTGCTGTTCCAAACTTATATGACTTTCTTTATTCGGTGAAAAACAATAGGAAATGTTAGGCAGAATGTACCGGCTGCTCTTTTCCATATACAGAGATTATGGACTGCCACTGGAAATCTTCCCATCTGCCATAGCTCTCAAATTAATTTGCCAGTCCACATGTTCATACCTGGCACATCATGATCCGCCAGACAAGAACCAATGCCATTTGGTGTCATAGATATCAAACTTGAAGTGCCATACTTGAATACACATGGACACATATGAGATTTGAGAGCTGCAGCAGATGGGAACTTTTTAACTACTTAGTCTGTATTGCATGGCTTCAGAAGACGTGGAATATGCAGCACGAGTCATATGGACTACTTTCATGGTACATTTTTTTTTTTTTCCTTTTTGTAGTTTGACAGCTCGTGGTTACTGTATGCTTACTGTATGCTTTCAAAAACTATAGTACTGACTTAAGTTTTTCTATGTGACATTATAATCGCCATTGTAACAAATCCAGGAGGTGCAGGCAAAGCTTATTAAAGCAGGGCTTTAGTATTTGGACAGCATTGTTTCATACGGTGTCTGTGTGCTCTCCCTCTCATTCATACACATGCAGAGGGACCCGGCACTGACTGCGGTGATGGATGAGCTCTCCTCCCTCTTTCTCCCTCTCATCTCTCTGTGGCACAGTCTGTGACCACAGCAAGAATATGTGTATTTCTGACCCCTGAATTCTACATGGACTGGAAGAAAAAGCTAGACGGAGAAAGAGACTTGGAGAATAAAGGAATGGTGGCTGCAAAGGCAAATGGAGAATATGAAATACGGGGAGAGGACGGGCGACAGAAGAAAAAAAAGTGTCTCTCTCAAATGAACGATGTTGACTAAGATTTGCTCTTCCAACAAAACCAGAATATCTGATCAAAATCCCCACAAAGCTACAGATGACAGACTTATTTATCCAGTGTGTCTATATTGGTAGCTGCATGCCACAGGCATGAGTAAAAATAATAATAATAATAATAAATTCCCAAGCCTATAAAAACAGTCATTGAAATAAAATAACAATAATAAAAAACTGAAGGACAAAAATATTTGGAAAGATTAGGGGAAAAAATATAGCGAACCATTTCTTTTTCCTAACTTGATTTATGACTCACAAGTGACTAGAAATGTCACTGAAATCTAGAAGTACAAAGCCATTTAAAAATATGATTTCCAAGCTTGAAAAAACGTCATGGGAAAAAAATTATAATAATAATATTAAATTATGGAAATGGAAAACTAGAAAAAAAATACAGAAAAGTTATAACACATTTCTATAGTAAAGCATTATTTTCAACTAATATTTCTACTAATATTTTAGTGGCTTTAAGTTACCGTTTAGGAGTGTAATCTGTATAAAATTATTGGGTCACACTTTATTTTAAGGTCCAATTCTCACTATTAACGAACCAACTTTTGCCACAACAAACTCCTAATTTGCTGCTTATTAATAGTTAGTAAGGTAGGTGTTACGTTTCGGTATTAGGTAGGATTAGGGATGTAGAATATGGTCATGCAGAATATGTGCTTTATAAGTACTTATAAACAGGCAATATTTTAATAATAGGCATACTAATAAGCAACTAGTTAATAGTGAGAATTGGTCCCTATACTAAAGTGTTACCAAATATTGAAATCAATTTAAAAAGTAATCACAAATTATTGTAAATGTCATGGGAATTCATTGGTCAAACGTGTGGAAACCCTGATATACACCAGCCAGTTAGTTATCAAGATACAACAAAAAAGATAAACCATTCATCATGCTACTGAATAGCTAAACCTAGTAAAGTATAGATAATAGATAATTTTTTATTCTTAGGCTTTCACCTTTTCCGTCAACCATATACCAAAGTACATTGCTGCTACAGTCCTTTATATATTGTGGAAATATAATTCTAGTGGAAAAAAAAGAAAAGTTATTGTAGGCAGAACAACACAGATTTAAAATCTGTCTGAGCAGATGATATTATACATATTGTGACCTTTATTATGTGTTGTGTACATATACTGCAATATCTAGATCTTCTTTTGCAGAGAATGAGTTCTCTGAAATGAATGAGCTAAATATGAACATGCAATTTGCAAGCAATATAACCTGGACCTGCTATGATCAAGAGCGCAACAGATGTTGACCGGTATGGCAGCAGCTGACCTGTGCAGTGCCAGGACTACAGATAGGAACACATGGCATTTTGGGAAAGGTCCCACTCTGACTGTGAGATTACCAATGCCTTTAGCAACCACACACTTTCAACAGGAGGCAGCAAACCAACAGGTGTCATTCCACAGGAAGCACATGAGAATAAAGCTTGCCCATCACAGAAAAACTAAACTACATTTCCTGTAGGAGCAAAGCTGCCTTTTTAAATGATTAAGAACAATGTAGGTGGTGAATCACATCTCGAGCCCTGGCCTAAAACGGATTCTTCAAAAGGAACACCTCCACATCAGCACTATTTTTTCAATTCAATTGTCATTTGAGATGTACATCCTCCTTGAACTGTGGCCCACCACACAAAACCCCCAGTTTTGTCCGTATCGGTGCCCTGTCAGCATCATTTTTCATCTCGCCAAAGCTTATTACCAGCCAGGCAACAAGTCATGGTCAGCCCACAGTAAACCGCAAAACCTTCTAGTCATTCTCAAGCCCAGCTAACAGCACTGAAACAATTAACCGAAGAGGATGCTCAAACCTAGTGTGTTTCACAAGCACTTTTTGTATCCCACTCCATGCGATTAACTGTAAATAAAAGTGTATTTTTCCCCCTCCGTCTCCGCCGAGCAGAATATCAATATAGCTTTTCAATTATTGGCCGGCCCCAAGTGAGGTCCAGACACTGATTGAGCAAGTGATGGGAAAAAGGCTGAGAGAAGAGACAGAGACCACAGCTGTTCAATCTGGGGGGCAAAGCAGGAAAAAAAAAAAACAATCATTTCTCGGCGCAACAGCATTGTCAGTCACATTTATTACGAATAGCTATCGTCACAGCTTACTCCATGAACCTCTCCCTTTCCATTGTACATAAACTTCACGCCAAAAGCACATGCATTAGTGCAGAGAATAAATATGCCGCTCTATTGAGCTTGTTTTATAAACAGACATTCCACAAAAGGATTATCTCTTCCATTGAGTGTATCTACATCAATTTGCATTCATTAGAGCACAACCTCCGGGAACTAATCATGGTCTGGTGTCACCCTATAGCCTAAAAGGTACATGCACACAAGAACGTTACGCTTATGACACCTGCTACATACGTGCCTCTACAAACACACTGTATCTGCAGCAGAACATATATTTGTCCATTACGGAAAACAAGCTATGCACTATTTGCATGAGTAGCCCAGCAAAGAAGCCCGTGCCATTAACCTTGACTCATTTTTACATTCGCGTAGCGTACACATCCAAGTTAAACACCCACCCAGACGTACACACATAAACAGACGATAGATAAGCACAGCTACACAGGGGATTGAACACCATATGGAGCCAAAGTCAAATACACACACGCACACATGACTACACACACTCGCACAGACAGGCGGAGACAGTGCGATCTACTCACAGAATGAAGCAGACGACACCGGGAGCTAATATCAAAGGATTGGCACGGATACAAGCTGGCTGCGTCCCGTCGGGAATGCTGACAGATTCCGGGGGAAAACGAGAAAGGAATATCCAAGGACACCTCTGAAACTGGATGGGAAAGGGGGGTTTGGTGGTGGAGAGGGGAGGCACTATTTGCATGAGTAGCCCAGCAAAGAAGCCCGTGCCATTAACCTTGACTCATTTTTACATTCGCGTAGCGTACACATCCAAGTTAAACACCCACCCAGACGTACACACATAAACAGACGATAGATAAGCACAGCTACACAGGGGATTGAACACCATATGGAGCCAAAGTCAAATACACACACGCACACATGACTACACACACTCGCACAGACAGGCGGAGACAGTGCGATCTACTCACAGAATGAAGCAGACGACACCGGGAGCTAATATCAAAGGATTGGCACGGATACAAGCTGGCTGCGTCCCGTCGGGAATGCTGACAGATTCCGGGGGAAAACGAGAAAGGAATATCCAAGGACACCTCTGAAACTGGATGGGAAAGGGGGGTTTGGTGGTGGAGAGGGGAGGGCGAAAGCAGATCTCACGCTTTTTTTAAGATCGGAGGTTAGGCTTCAGAAGATTTCCGTCTCGTCCGTTCTCGTTGCCTGGCTCTCCTTGTGGAATCTTTTGCCAAACGCTATCAGGTTCCTGATTTTGACTTGAGATACAACAGCATTTTGTCTGGGGTAAACAGGAGTACAGAAGAGAAATCAGTCAGGAAGGCAAATTAAAAAAAAATTCCAGCGGAGATGAAATAACTCAATTCCCTCCTTTGCTCTCCCAGAGGCATGGAGAGGGGGGTAAAAACGTAGATGTAGTGACAAGATAAATACCTAAAACTGCAAAAATGAGAAGGCAACAGAACATTCTGTTTCAGCTCGGGGGGGATAAAAAGCTTCTCCCTCCTTTTCCCCACCCTATCTCAGTCACTGCAATGTGTTACGATCTCCCTTACAGTCTTAAGGGTCATCTGGAAGAAAAAAAGAACAAAAAAATCTAATTTTCAAGATGAAAAGAAGATGAAAATGGAAACAGAAGCTTAACTTATCAAAAGGTAGGAGTTAGCGACGATCTGTGACATCTGGCCCCCTCCCTCCCTTTTTCGCTTTCTTTGGTCTTGTTCTCCTTCTGTCTTTCAATTTACCTGAATCTGAATAGTAAAACTAAGGCATGCAATAAAATGTTTCTTTTTTTGCCCCAGATTGCAGGAGAACAGCCTTGTCAATCCAAGGCATACCATCAGATCTCTCTTTCTTATGTTTTTCTTTCTAGACCTACACAGTAAAACTGTTGAATGTCAGTCTAAAAGTTGAGATCTGATTGAGGCCTAATACAAAACAATCCCAAAATCAGTCTTTCCCTTCTCAGAACTGGACAGAAAAAGGGGGGGGGGGAACACCTCCAAACGCCATAGATTGCTAGAAGATCGCCGTCAGAACTGGCCTGAAATCTGATTCTGAGTGGTGGGGTGCTTGAACGTATCCCCCAGAAAAACCACTTGAACTTCTAGTTCTCCATTTTCAGCTGCCTGCCAGGCAGGAAGTTCAATCATCTCCCATTAAATGGTATCGCTTAAGATCCTCTCTGTGCGAAATGAAATCAAAGGATCTTCGTGTGATTGGATGACCCTTATTCCTTTGGCCCCTCAGGGTTCCGTCCCAACTTAAAACGCTGGATGGTTTCGAAGTAGTAAACGTCAAGTGATTTCAATATAAAAAAAAAACTCCCAATCAAGGATTTGTTCTTTCTTTTCGGTCCTACTTCCTCAGCTGACTTTTTAACGCCAGATATCCTCAAGTCTCTGCGCTCCTGTCACCATTCTTTTGCTGGCAGGAAAGTAGGTGCATTCTGAGAGCATCTGGGGATGTATGGAGGAAGAACTTGCTGTCAGCAGGCAGGAGCGGTAAGACGCGTCAAGGGTGGAGAAATGGGCCTTTACGAAGCAGGAAACAGCCTGGAGCCGGAGGAACAGACAATTAGGAACATATAATTAAAGTAGGAAAAGACATAATGATGTAATGCCAGGGATGTAGAGTGGCCCGAAATGGTCTTTTTTCCATTACTTGCTCATTTTATGAGGGCAGTTGCATCATCCACACCTCTTACTCTATGATGCCCTTGCATTGACATTCTCCCTCCCTCTACCTTTCCCAAGTCCCTTCCTTCAAGCATTCCCATCTTTTTTGTGTCCCTCTCTCCTTGAACTACTATTTCAACACAATCTTACCTCTTATCCAACATATACAAGCTTCAAGCACAATTCTCGCTATATAAAAAGTAATTACAGTCGATTGTCCTTCAGATGAAGTGAGAAGCCAATGCAAACGCTTTAAACAGAGAACAGTCGTTGTGATTATATTTTCACTGAGTGAAGTGGTGTTACGAGGGACCGTATGGAAAATGTTCTGTGATAAATATTAGCGAAACACTGGCTCCTTGCGTGCTTGAACGTTACATAAGCCTGTTAGCCGTAGCTGGAATAAAGAGAGAGGGGAAGGCGGTCAAGTGGCTGCCATGTTTCTAAATCTGTCAATCTACTGTGCTTTTAAACATGAACAAGCTTATACTTTTTACATCACGGAATGAGAATCGAGTGCATAACACTGTAAACACATTAATCCATTAAAATACATTATGCCTTGGCTCTCAAGTCAAATTTGATTTGTTTTGACTCATTGAGATCAATATAATTAGGTATTTACTGGCCATGCTTTTGGCTTGCTTGGCAAACAAAGTATTACTTTTACAAATATCTGGATGGATTTTAATCTTGATTTTGGGATCTGTTGCCCTGGTTTCTGTGTGAACGCTATGCTAATGCGTTTTACTTTAAAAAACAATTGAAATTTGGCTCTCTAGGGAAAACATTCCCTTTCACAGTGCATTTGTCCTTGAAAAACATGCCATGTCACAGGTAAATCCAGGCACTTTTTTAGTGATCATGCATGGAGCCAAACCAATCTGTTTTTGCCTACTCAAAGCCTTATTACACCATTTTAAAAGCCGTCATGTTAAATCAATAGGTCTGAGCCCTAGCAGACATCAAACTCCGTACCTTCGGCACACATATTAACAAAGACTTCAGCAAAGGGCGCCGAGATCACATTCTGTACTTTTCTCTGTGTGATCTAATGCTTCCGCGAGCGAGTCAGAGCACAGTGCCAAGAAACCAAGCGAAGGTGAGAGGTTGAAAATGAGATTCGTTTTTCTCTTGCACTTCTCACACTTGGCACAGTGAAACATAATTCGGTCTGCTTTGTCATCCTCTATTCTGGCCCCTCTCTGTCTGAGATAGCGGCTCTGTAAAGGATTTACAACTCTGAAGATTTCCCTGATAAATCTGACACTTTGCATCATCTCAGTTACACGGAGGTAGAGACAACAACAGTATTTCACTCAGTGATATCACACAACTCTATTTCACGGTACTTTATGAATCACGTCACGTGGGCGATAAAGCGGTTTCCATTTGGTCTCCATTAAGTCTCATTGCTGTCTAGGAGAAATAACAGATATTAATTTGATTTTTCTTTGCTACAAGTTTGGACACCATATAAAAGCTGCTGTATCCAAAATGAGCGTTCCTCCCAGTTGCTAAAGTTAAATACCCTTCACACACACACTCAGAGGCAATGGCAGCATAGCCAGCAAAAGCACAGCATCGTGGGTAAGCTGTCACAATCACCATCAATCTACACGCTCGCTGCCTCACCGATGAAATACAAGCAGAGTTCACCGGCAGATGCATATACAGCCGTGACGATATACGAGTACTGCGTGTGTGTGTGATTTTGCGAAGCATGTGTGAAGGATGTGTTTGACCTGAGCGCATTGGCTTAGGTTGAGCGCTCCTGTGACACAGACAGTTGTTAATGGCTGTTGAGGGATGGGCAGATGGGGACCGATGGGGGGAGCGGAGGGGGGACCGTGACAGATGAGAGAAAGAATGAAAGATAGAGAGAAAGAAGGAGTATGAAAAGGGAAATAAAATAGCTGATGGATAACAGAAAAGGGGAATTCAGGGGGAAAAAACGAGGTGAGGAAAATGATTGCGGTCAACTCATAGTGCATCATGCATGGAAAAGAGGGATGAAGAAGAGCAAACGAGAAAAGCGAGGTACACTCACCCATGGCTCTTTTTTTTCTTCACTTGCGACACTGTAAGTCTATTGTGCTGGCAGAGAGAAAAATAAAGACAGATAAACCTCAACAGAATGCCACAAGGTCTGATATTATAAACGCGTGCAAAAAAAAAAGCTAGAGAGAAAATGAAGAACATCAGACAGAGATATCAGATGAGCTCAAGAGTCCGAGGGGCTCGCTGCATCAGTCCCGGTCAGATGCATAAAAGCAAAATGACTTGCTAATCGGAGTCTTAGAGAATTACACATGCAGCTATAAATCAACATGTCAGCATTCATGCACTCACACACACATGCACGCGTGCACGCAGCAGCATGAACAGGCTCCACAGGCGCTACCTCAAAGGATGCTAGGCTCTCTCCTCCTCCTCTTTTCCCCCGTTCTCCCTCTCTCTCTCTCTCAGCCTCTTCTGCGGTTTCTGTTTATTCACCACAGATCATTTCCCAAGAGAATGCAATGGTGGGTTCTCTTCATTTTCTGCATCCTTGCCATCCTCCCGTTTCACGCCCCCCCGTTCCAGTCCGGCAAAATTGAGCTTGCTGTAATTTCTGGCAGCTGGGCTAATGTGTAAACTGCATTCGTGCCCTCTCGTTCTCTCTCACTCTCTCGTTGTGTCTCAGTGCCTCTTCAGCACTGCCTCCAATCCAATCAGAAGCACATCTCTCTCTCTCTCTCGCTCATACCTCTCACTCCCACAAACACTGTAAAATAAACATCAAAATGTACATTCATCACAGTCACACTGGTCTCCTGAGCTTTATCCGCCATCAAAACACATACACCCAATGACAAAGATGATTTCCGCATACAGTACTTTACAATTCTTGGTAGAAATGATAGATTAAGACATTTAGAAGTTACTATACAAGTGTATTGACTATATTAAACCATTACAGAAAGCAGAATAAACTACTGACACTATAATCTAACAGTGTAAGCGTCTGTTG